TCCCAAATCCATCAACATTACACCGGAGTTATAACCACGCCCCTACAAAAGCGGCAGGTTTTTTTTTAAACTTTACACCTTACGGCATTCAAAACTTGTAAACACCGAATTAGTTATCCCCGAAGGAAGGAGGGAGAAAATATTGAAGCAAAGAGTCTGCAGCGACCTGATTTGCAAATTAATTTGGTTCACATTGTTTTTTGACAGAAATTTATGCTTGTCATTGACTATGTTCAGAATGAGATAGAAAACTGCCGCAGATCTGCAAAATTCAACATCCACGGCAATGAGAGTTGTAAAGAAAACATATTTTGCGAAATGTAATAATTTACTGACAATTGATTTATTATTAAACTATTTCTAAAAGTGTTGAAGGACAGTTCCAGAAGTTATATGTCATCAGCAAAGCACTTTTTTCGAAAAACAGCATCCACAATGAACTGATGCGCCGAAATTGGGTAAGGGAGCCTTTGTAGGTGAACTAAAGGCGTAACTTAGTTCACAATCAATAATCCGCTAAGACACAACCAAAAGATTCAGGGCCTAAATCTTGACTAGGTTAAATCGTGGCAAAATGGTTGTTTCAACCCGCTCTTTGTAATTCAAAAAGTCTATAAGAACCGGAGCTTCACTTTGTCTATAAGAACCAGAGCTTCATTCGGCGCTTTCTAGCATTTTAGCATTAAATTCGCTGTCACAGGGACAAACTGATTTAACACAACTCAGTACTTCCAAGCTTATTTTAATAGCTTTTTGAGTAATTTTTTCAAATGGTTTTTGAATGAAGCCCGTTGATGCCAGAAATCACACCAGTGCTGGCCATGTACTTTTGTGCAGTGCGCTTCCGTTTAACAAGTACCAATCTGATAGGTTTTCTGCTAAGCCAATCGCTTGAAAGTCGTTCATTTTGTTGAAAAATGCCCAGAGCTGAGCAATATCATCAACAAGCAATACATCTGTATCAAGTGCAATAATCTGGAATGAACTTGCAATAACATAAAATTTTGCCACTGTAGCGGCTTGTTAGAGTAGGACTAGCAGTTATTGGAAGCAGGACTAGTAATTATAGAAAAATTATCACAACAACAGTTTGTTGCTTCAGTTTCTTTTCCAACTAAAATTCCTCTGCTTCTACAGAATCACTGACAGGATATTCAGTTCACCTGCTGATTAAACTTAAAGGATTTTGGCAAAATAAATGGACCGGCAAGTTCTATTCTGGTCCGGACAGCCAGTCAAAAATATAGGTTAAGAAAGACACGGAACTGTAACTAATAAATTTGTTTCTTCAGTCCAAAAACTGACAAAGTAAAAAAATGCGAATTACAGATGGTGTGTTGACTATGTAACAGTGAGCTATGCAGACCATCGATTTTAACAGCCTGTCGCTAAGAAAACGACAAACTGTCATTATGGCAAAACGGTTTTAGAAATTCAAAACGCTTTAGTTGGTTTACCAGAAGGTTTTGAAGGAAAGTACCATACACACCCCTGTCAGCGGCTGACTGACAAAAACTGGCATTGATGAATAGCCTTTCTGAATATAACTAAGAGACGAATTCCTGAGATGACTGTTGAACGCAGTACTTTTTCAATATGTGAAGGAAGGATATCAACAAAGAGCAGCTTCATAAGACCGTAATTTCCGGAATAATGCCGATTCTCAATCCATGATATATCAGCCGCATATACAGATATATTGTAAAAGACTGATTGCACTAAAAAAATAGAAACTGATCAAATTCAAGGATTTGGCTTCGAAAACAGATGCTGCAACAGTTAAAATCACGGTTTTTCAACTGATTTTTGATAAAAAACAGACATTCTCACATCTTCGGGCAAAAATTCGCAGCAAGTAACAAAGAATTACACCTGCTGGTAATTGCCAGGTACTGAAAAGCACTGTGAGGATTTTTCGCGCAATATCATCTACAAGCAGATGCAAAACAAGAGCATGACGCCGATGCGCTAGAATACTCTTGATAAGCGTTGATAAACGATTGCTAGATTCGAATCCACCACAGACCAATGCCAAATGCAACACCTAGGAGTAATTCTTTTGTACTTCTGTAAAAGTTTTTGGAAAAACAAAGAGTCCTTGTTTCTAGAAATCCCTTTATACTATCCGGGATAGATAGCTTGATGTTTGGAGCAAACGCCTACATGATGCTAATAGAGTATTATCTTTCTAATTCTAGTCAGATTGATATTTTTCGAAACAAACTTCCTCTGGCGGGTTCCCGGGCTCTGGCATTTTTGGTAGTACTGGAGTGGCTGGATTTCTGTGTTACAGCAGTTTTTATGCGTTTTGCGCTGCAAAACAAAGCGCATATTGTCACGCCTCTGTCTGTCTGTTTGTGTGTGTGTGTGTGTGTGTGTGTGCGTGTGTGCGTGTATCCGAGTGCATTTTGTCCCATACTTTCAAGTCGGGAATCACAGAAACTCGGAAGCTGAAATTTTGGTAGAATGTTCCCTAGTTGCAAAAGGAACAAGGTGTTAACAACAAGGAAACGAAGTTACCGGCTAAACCCCCTTTGCCTTGCCCAGTTGCCCTTCGATTCCATGTGATATGCAAATGTCCCGCCTCCTGACTCCAGTTCCCCTTTCATGACATGCAACAGAGTGATTATTATTTATTATGTCACAAGCATTGTGTGGCGGCAGTGTGAGGCTGCTGCCGGATTTTTCGCGCTTTGTGAGTTTTTTTGTTCTTGTACTAATAAAGCTTTGTTTATTAGTTTATGCTAGTAAAGTCTACCCCCCTTTCCCTCCCTCCCCCCATCTGCTCTCTGATCGTTATATGAGGGCTGAGCTGATATGACATAGTGGATAGATCCCGGAATGTGAGTGCGTAGAGGAGCAACTGAAAGTCAGTTAAAAGAGCCAGTCGCGCATAAGCTAAAGAGCGAGTAAGTGTTAAAGGTGAACACAAAAAGCTCCAAAGCTAAAGACTGTAGAGAAGGTGAGAATTGCAACTCACAGTTATAAAGCGCTGACGACCAAGTGCCGCTAAACGTCATTACTGACGCTTGGGAGAACTATGTCGGACTGCAGTCAGCGTAGTGAAGAAGCGAAAGAAATTGCCCAGATCCCGGAGGAGGACGATTTGGAGTGGGAGGATGCGTAATACCTTCAGGACGTGAGGTGTAGCTCGGCAGCTTTTTGGGATAAGCTAGCCGAAGCAACAGAATGGGCCGAGACAGGTAGTTTTGAGCAATTCGAAGCAAGACACCTGGCTGTGCAGGGCAAGATGACGCGGGACCTCACGTTCAAAATGGAAACGTGTTTTTGAGCCGTGGAAGGGCGGCCTACAGGAATGGGATAGGAAGCAAAACGATTTGAGAGGTACCCTGAGGAAAATGCTGGACGGCAAATCAGATGCTGAGAATAAAGGCCGAGAGGCGAAAAACTGGGAAGAAGTAGCCAAAGAGTTTGAAATTACTTCGCCTGCGCAGTTACGAGAAACGCTGCATGAAGCAGCTAAGATGAGAAAGGGACTCAAAGCGAAAGATTATGAGCAGCTGAGAGCTGTGATGGGACAATTGCGCAACTCCGAAAAAATACAGCGTGAGCTGCGAGCTCGGATAGCCCAACTGAGAAAAGAGAGTGATGCATTAAAGAGCGAAGAAAACGAAGAGCGGCGAGCGCGAGTAACAGGTGAGCGGGAAGGACAGCGGGTCGCAGCGCATGTGCGTCCACCTTAAAGGCAAAAATAATGGGCGCGAGTCGAAATGGAAGCGACCGCGCAAAAAAGGTGGCGGAGAAAAAAAAATAAATGTAGCCGAAAATGAAACCGACTGTTTAGAATGTAGGAAGATTGTAGAAACCCAGCCTGGAACGCACCAGGCGAGCCGGTGCGATCATGCGTTTTTGCACCAAACCTGAAGTAATTAGGTTAACTGCATGAACGGTTGTTTCTTCACACCCACCTGGTGCGCTCAGTACCGTAAACCATCGTAAATTTTGCATATACGAAAATAAACAACTTCTGTTTAGCGGTTGTTTTTATTTGAAAATAACTCACCTGTTCAATGAAATTTTCCCGCCAATAATTTAAGTGCCCTGCACGAGAACCACGCGTACATACGAGGCTGAATCTGAAACCTTTAATCTATATTGGGACAGGGAATATTCTCCTAAAATCTCAGCTTTCCAGCTTTTATTTTTCCCGAGCTAACCATTTTCCCGTCAAAAAAGTTTCACAGGGTCGTACGTCAGAACTACGTATGACTGGGGGACTGAATTTGGTAACTTTAAGTCGTACATTGGCAGGGAACATCCCTTAAAAATTTGAGCTTTTCAGCTTAGCTAATTCCCGAGTTAGCCATCTCCCCGCCAAAAAATTTCACGAGGCCGCATGTGAGAACCACGCACGACTGGAGGCTGAATTTGATAGATTTATGTTGTATTTGTGCTAGGAATATTCTTTGAAAACTTCGGCTTCCAAACTTTGCTAGTCCTCGAATTAGCCATTTTCCCGCCAAAAAATTTTACGAGACCTCACATGAGAACCACGTACGGCTGGGGGCTGGATTTGACAATTTTAAGTTGCACGTAGGCTGGGAACGTCCCCTGAAAATTTCAGCCGCCCAGCTTTGCCAGTTCTCGACTTAGCCACTTTCCCGCCAAAAAATTTCACGGGGCCGTATGTGAGAACCGCGCATGCGTGGGGGCTAAAGTTGACAATTTTAAGTCGTGCATGGACTGGGAACACTCCCTGAAAATTTCGGTCCCCCAGTTTTGCTAGTTCCCGAGTTAGCCATTTTCCCGCCAAAAAATTTCACGGGGCTGTGCGGAAGAACCACGCACAACTGGAGGCTGAATTTGAAATTTTTGAGTTATATGTAGATGGGGAACAAATTTTCAAAATTTTAGCTTTCTACCTTTTCTCGTTCCCGAGTAATCAATTCTCCCGCCAAAACTTTCACCCCCTCGTACGCGGAGCCCAGACTTGCGTAGGGGTTAGTACCACGGTTCTGGGGTGGCACTTGGCCGGGGGAACTAATAGCAAAACCTTGGCGCTGGAATTTGCTTGGTTTCTGAGTTGAAATACCCGGACAGAAAAACACACACACACAAACATACACACAGACAGGGTCGTCGCAATATGCGTTTTTGCAACTTGCATACAGGCAAAAATGCATAATAAGGAGCGGGAATCTGCGCCAAGAATCCACCGGATTATGTAATCAGTATAGTTCTGTTGATGATTTACCACTAAGGACATTAAAGCGACAAACCAAATTGGATGCAGGCAATGCTGCAGATAACGCAGCGGATGCAGTCGCAACTCCTGCCTCTGGCAAGGTACTCGGGTGAAGGAGAGAGAAGTGAGATGAAGTTTAACGTTTTGTTGAAGAATTTAAATTGCAGTATGGACATAAAACAGATCTGACGAAAATCCGCTATTTACATTCCCATCTGGCGGGACTCGCTCTAGATGCGTTTGGGGATACCTACCCGTGTTTCTGGAGAAAGGCATATTCGAGGAACTTGTGCAGGCCTTGAGGAATGTCGTAGTTGATTCTTCGAAGATCACCCGCACTAGGCTGTAAAATAATTTAAGCAAAGTGGAATGGAGAAAAGGGGAACCGCTGACTCAGCTGTTTGCATCCATCGACCGGAAGGTTGCAACAGCTTATTATGCGATTTATATCAATATAAAGCAGATCCGACGAAAATTCGCTATATGCATTCCTGTCTGGCGGGACTTTGTAGTTGAGGAAAAGTGTGGAGTCGCAATACAGACTATGCGAGTAGAGAACTCGCCACAAGAGTAGCTACTGCAGTGTTCTAGGCGAAAGATGGAGAGATGTATAAAAGGTTGCATTGGAGTATGAGAGGGCCAAAAAAAGAATGAGAAAGACGCCCTCGTGCAGAGGATACCCCCAGACACCTGCAGGTTCAGGGCGAAGCAGCCCAAAGAAAAGAATATGACCGCTAGAAATAGCAGCAAAAAGGCTGCGAAGGGTGAAGATTGAAGCCGGAAGGAAAGGAAATTGAATAGAAGTAACGTGCTTCGGACGAAGGATAGTAATTCGCAACAGGGGTTGCAAAAAGAATAGGTGATCTGTTTTGTATGCAAAGGCGGGGGTCACATGGCGAGAGTCTCCCCAACGGCGGCAGTTCACCATTTGGCAACAGTTAGAGGGAAAGTCGCACGCCGTAAGGAGGGGAGTGCAAGCTTTTAATGTGCAGCTGGACGTAACGTTCCGCTGGAAGGTATGTGAGGGGAAGTTTACATTGGGAAGGACTAGACGGCGGCGAACATACGAAAAACGCATAACGGAGAACAGCTCTAAGGTGACGCACTGAAAAAACGCATGCTTTATCGCCGA